GGTACTTCGGTTTCCCCTGCCAATCTTCATTCCACCAATTACTCCACAATCACCCTCACCTATCATCTGGGGCTCGTACAATAGGCCAGAAGTGGCCGCAGTACAAGAGACTTAGTCCAACCCCACTAGCATTAAAAAAACGCATCTAATATTCAATGAATCACTTCAAGATGCCGTGTAAAATCAATCTTTGACAGATCCTTGTAAATTGTTATATATTTCTTTTCTGTCTTACGTCACCTTCCGCAATAATATGACAAATGTCCTGAGAAGCGAGATCCCTGTAATCACTAAATAATGATACAACTTTCAGTATAACTATACACCTTTCAGAATTCTGTCTTCTTGGATTTAAAGCCGTGCAGTTCGTTAAAAATCAGTCGACTTTTCGGAGGAACATGTCACTCTGACCGTTAGTGTCCAAGAACAGATCAAATAGGAAAGCGCCGTGAAGTTGATAGTAACGGACTTCACGGCGTTATGTCCCAGACGAAAGAAACTCTTCATAACTGTCGGTGTGAGAACCTCAGGAAATTGAATTTATTTTAGAGATGACAAAATCTATTTCTAAATAGTCTCAGCGAAGCATATTCAAAAACCACGTTCCATATTTCAGTGAATATGTTCGCACGACATCGCTACAGTTTTCCCCATGTGTACTATGAGGGTTCAACAAGGTGAGCTGTTAGCTTGCGCCTGAATGACTTGTGTCGCTCTTGGTGTGTAGCCTGCAATGTGTTGATTGGCAAACACACATCCCGCTGGCCCGGCTGTCGCTACAACTGCTACACTCTCTGAACCAGAACAGTTCTCGTGTTCCCCAGGGTGGGTTGATAGCAGATCAGATATATGGCGGCTGATCCATTACGGCCCAAATACTCTCTCTCGAGAACCCTCTGTCATACAGTGCACTGGCCTGCACAGTCATAAGGTACGGTGTTTGGGCTCCGTTGGCCTACGTAGAGTAACAATTCTGTTAAAAACCATACAGGCTCAGTCAAGTTAACAGGAAGTATAAATCAGTACTTATATTATTCAATTATATATCTGTAGGTCTATTTGTGATTACGACTTCCGCTAGTAATATCTACAAATTCAGACTGCATTATATCAGCCAACAACATTAATGGAACCCGAAATTTCATTACTGTGTTCACAAGACCGCGACGCTAGTCCCTAGCAAGCTAAACAAATCAAGTTCTCGTCTTCCTATCTTACTTCTTTAAGATCCAATTCAATGTTAACCTCCCGTCTACGACTAGGTATCTCAAATGGTCTATTTCCTTCAGATTTTCCTACAAAATCTTTGCATGCTTTTCTCGTTTCTCTCACGCATTGTACATGTCCCGCCCATTTCAACCTCCTTAATTTGATCAACTCTAATTATGTATCTAGCGAGGAATGTGAATTATGCAATTTTTCTCAGTCTTCTGCTACTTCCTCCTTCTTAGGTCCAAATATGTTCCCCAGGACCCTTTTCTCGAAATACTGGTAGTCGTCCATACAAAACAATGAGAAAATTTAGTTTATTCTATATTAATCTTCACTTCCTATAAGCAGCAGTCAGGAACACAAACGATTCTGAATTGTATGGTATCAAACATTCCCCGAATTTGGGTTATTCTTAAGTTTTCACGAGTGACAATGTTACTTGTTAGTGCCGTTCCAAGATATTTCCGCTTTGCCACATTTTAAAGGATCTATTAACTGTCTTTATCTTATGATTGTACCCAAATTCTGGTGACGAGATGTCAACATACACTTAGTTTTCTCTGTCCTCACTTCTACGCACGTACATCATGTCCTTACTAGAGCCTGTTAAAGAAATAAAGCTATCGCTGTAACAGACTGCGAAGGTCCATAGGGTTGTGAGACGTCGAGGCTCCCAAGAGATTAAGGATGTTGCATATACACCGTAGGAAAAACTATAATCTGAATGACATTTTCCGATAGTAAAGAAATCGATATATGACGTCATCATCAACCTGTCCGAACCTGTCAGACAACAACCCCATCTAAGGAAACAACTCTTTGCATTCTGAAGAGGCCTATTAGTCACACTACAGCTGTGCCCATACACAGGCAAAAATACACTACGCCAGTACGTCAGTTCGTGCCTTCACAGACATATATTCTGCTACACTGGTAAGTAATAATTCTATCCTTAACTGAAATAGTAATCGAACTGCATAATTCCTAAAATAGTACAATGTAAACAAAGCATTACTTTCGGATCAGTCTCCAAGGATTCACATTATACTACGCTAGCAAGTCGCTCATTGCCTTCAAAAACAACCATTGCACTCCTTCAGGAAGTAAAATTGGTTTAACCCAGTGATAGTCTAGGTGTACAACTCACCAAAACTTGATATGACTTAGGTAATTCTAGATAAATTCCAACAGTTTTGATTTGGACTGACCGAGAGGGATGTACAAGAGAAAGGGGTATAAGACTGTGTATTTCCAAGTTACATGAAAGATTTCTGACAAAGTGGTAAACATATAACTTATACTTGACAGAATTCTTGTATTTAGGGGAAATGCTATATTTTACACATATCTTTATAAAATTAAGACTAATCGTACATTATTTCATAATATTTTATCTTAATATTATACGTGTTCACCTTTTACCTATAGCCCACGTGGGGTAAACTTGTCTAACTTGTATTCATCATTTTATTGCGACAATTTACGTTCGAAACATAAACTTAATAATTAAAAATAAAAACAGGAATTTCTGTTGTATGTTTGTGTGATATTTTATATTATACCTATACGAAAACACAAACAGAATACAAATTTAAAAAGTTTAATAATTACTTTGTGAAATATTGAAGGTTATGTTGCTATCTCGTCACCAAAATGCAGGCCAAATTCATGACCTAAAGAAAGATAACAGATGTTTTGAAAATGTGGCACAGTTCAGATATTTGGGAACAACTACAACAAATCAAAACCTGATTCAGGAGGAAATTGAACTCGGGCAATGCTTGCTACCATTCAGGTCAGAACATTTTGTCTTCGCGTCTGCTGTTTAAAAACATAAAAATTAGAAAGTACAAAACTGTAATTTTGCCTGTGGTCTGTATGGGTGTGAAACTTGGTCTCTGACATTAAGGGAGGAACATAGACTGAGGGAGTTTGAGAACAGGATGCTGAGAATATTTGGACCGAAGAGAGATGAAGTGATAGGAGGTTGGAGAAAACTACATAATGAGGAGCTTCATAACTTGTTCTCTTCTCCAAGTATAATTAGAATGGTCAAGTCGATGCGGATGACATTGGCAGGGAATGTAGAACGAATGATGGAGAATGGGAATGTATATAGGATATTGGTGGGAAAGCTGGAAGGAAGGAGACCACTGGGAAGAGCAAGACGTAGGTGGGTGGGCAATATTAAAGTGGATCTTAGAGAGGACGGATTGATTGAATTTATCTGGCTCAGGATAGGGACCAGTGGAGTGCTCTTGTTAACAAGGTAATGAACCTTTGGTTTCCATAAAATGCTGGAAAATTCTTGAGTAGCTGCACAACTGGTAGCTTCTCAAGAGGGCTCAGCTCCATAAGTGAGTGAGTGAGTGAGTGAGTGAGTGAGTGACTGACTGTTAAAGGTACATTGGATTGATTAAATTAGGTAGACTGAAATATATAACATATAGGAGAGCCATTAGTACCTGAAGCTGGTTCATCTGAGATTGAAGTTTGTTACCGAAATTTGAAAAGATATGAATTGCGAGGAATTGATAAAATTCCGACATAAGTGATCCAAGCAGGGCGTGAAACGTTGCCTTCTGAGGTCCATGAATTCGTAAGTTTGGAGTAAGGAGGAATTTCCTCGGCGATATGAGTACTGTTGATCGTGTTTATAAGAAGGGCGATAAAATTGACTGCAGTATTTATGAAAGAGTACCACTGTTGCATGAACTCCATACAACATACAGTATATATATATACACAGTGTGTGTGTGTGTGTGTGTGTGTGTGTGTGTGTGATGAGAGTTTCTGCAATTATCGGATTCTGGAGAACAGATTGAACTGAGCGGTAGGTGACGTCAAGGAAGCTGTCCCTGTGTTTAACCACTACGCCATGAAGACGTACGGGGAGTATATGTATACATCCATATATTCTTGATCTCGGCACTAGTTGGAGTTGGATGGGCAGCTTCACACTCGGCCACTTTACCCCGGAAGATAGAGCCCACGATACCCTTGGGTGGGCCCCCAACACCGGTCTGATTGACATGGAGAGGACAAAAATCTTGCCACAATCGGGACTCGAAATCCACACCTTCGGCCGTCTCGATTTCAGACTCCAAGAAGACCTACAATTCAGTGTCTTTTATTGCTAGTGGGGTGGGAGAAAGTCCCTTGTACTGCGGCCACATCTGGCCTATTGTACCAGCCCCCAGATGATAAGTGAGGGTGACTGTGGAGCAATTGGTGGATTGAAGATTGGCACGGGAAACCGAAGTACTCGGAGAAAACCTGCCGCAGCGCCACTTTGTCCACCATAAATCCTACTTGACCAGATCCGGGATCGAACCCGTGCCGCCGCTATGGGAAGCCAGAGACTAACCACTTGAGCTATGGCGCGGCCTATAATTCAGTTAATAGACGAATGTTGTACAAAATTCCTATGGCGTTCTGTACACCCCTGAATATACTTAGATATTATTAGTTTGTGTTTGTTTGTACAGCTCAGGATAGGGTCCAGTAGCGGGGTCTGAATAACACTTTCTGGCTCCTTAAAGCGCTGCGAATTTCTAGACAACTTAGCGTCTCAAGGAAGACTCCATTGAGTCAGTTCATTCGTGATAGTCCGTCTAGTTACGCTAGTCAGTCCACCATTCTGCATCTTCTGACCAGCACAGGCTCTATCTTAATTCGTAACAAGATGTCGCGTGAATAGTGCAGCAATTAAGCCGAATGCTGGCAAAACAAAAAATTTGAAATATATTCTATATCCTTTCGAAATATGCGACACTTCGTCGTTTCTCGTTTATACGAAATATTCAGAAGTTAATTCTCGTGACTGATAACATACATTGTATTCCTTACGACAAACAGATACAGACACTAGTCCAAGCAGTCCTACAGCCTTGCGTGAAAAGAAAATATTACGAAATTAAAGAAGAGACCAGGGCCCAACAAAGGGCTGTAGATCCAGTGATAAATGAATGAAAATACAGATACAGAAAAGTCATCATTTATGAAATGAAGTATATATATTTTTTGTAAATATTTGATTTTTTGTGTTTTTGATTTTTTTTACATAATCTGGTTCGCCTATGGCATGCCCTTTATTTTTCTTTGTTCCCTAATATCGATTTTACATAAGGGCGTCATGTCGTCCTGTCAAAATATTCTTCTTAATTGTCGGATCAAGCGACCCTTCAAGGGACGCCGCTACAACTCCACCAGCCACACGCACGCGTGGAATTCAGAGGGACCCTGTGTGTATTTTAACATTCCTGGCGCAGGACTTACACTGTCTTGGAATGTGCACCCTAAGTTATGTGGAAGGGATGAAGCTGAGCACGTGATTCCGAGGGAGAAGTGACGAATGGGGGAGGTTTAAACAACTACCCCTTATGCCTCTAGTTACTCAAATGAAGCTGTCCCATGAATGAATGAATAATGACGTCTCCAGTTTCCTCGGAATGATTTCCGAGGAGGAAACTCCACGTAACTTGAGGCATGGGAAGTGGCGAACTTAGGGTTCATTACTGTACACTGTACAGTATCGTGCTGGGAATTATGTAATGGGGAACTTGCAGCGCGTTTGGGGCAATGAGAAATATAAAATTTTGGTAGGGAATCCTCACGGGAATAGACCTCTTGGAAGACACAGGATTAGATAGAAGGATAATATAAAATTGATCGTATAGAAACAGTGTGAAAACGTGGGCTGGATTCAACGGTTGTGATCAAAGCGTGGCCAACTCGAGTTACATAAAAGGAGGGAAATTCTTGACCAGCGCAATATAATCTTGCCAAGGCTACCGTGCAGTTATTAGCGAATCATATGAATGAATTTCAGAGAGGCGGGCCTTTAACTACGCCATTATCTTGTTTATTTTTGCTGGTATGACACACATTTCGAAACTCTCCAGATATAGTTTCTTCGATTCATGATATTGTCAGTATCTCTTACTCGGTAGGTACCAGATTCGAGCCTTGGTTGAGCACTGATTAACTCGACCGAAGTTAGGCGTGGTGTCTTTCGAGATGAAAGGAAAAGAGCAATAATTATTCAGCATAAAACTTCAAGACATCCCGCCTGTCACCCGGGAATCAAACCCGTTCACAATAGGAGACACAACGATAAACAGTCAAGCATGACGTTCTGTAGAATATATTTGCGTCTGCAAGGAGGAAGTGTTATGATAAATCAGAGATATATCAGATTAAGCAGCCTAAGTCTTCTTGAAAAGTTGTTCACGTAGTGGCACGTATCCCAAGCCTGAGTAATTAAGCACCAAGACATGAAGACGCATGGAAGAGCGGAATTATATCTCCAGACAGTCATAACCTCGGAATTAGGTGGAGGTGAATATTGAATTTGACGTTCCGGCCGCTTTTGACTCAGGGGGAGAACCCGTAGCACCCATTCGCCTGTGTGAATCCCAGAACCGGCGAAAAGAGGAGGATCTCAACCATAGTCGGGAATGAAACTCCAGCAGGCTGGTCTGCAGTCACCTATTCTAGGAAAAGTTTCAATAGTTTGCTCACGTCTAACACGAGGTCTACCAATTGGCCTCTTTCCTTGAATCCCGCAGACAAAATTTTTCTCTTCTTCCAAACATATTTTATATCTGACACATTGGATCCTCATTGACTTTTTACCCTAATAGTATGAGCTGACAGAACAGCTACAGCACAGCAATAACACGGGGATCTGAATTTTCGAACAACCCAGTCCATGCATAAACAACATGAGTGGAATACCCCCCACAACGTGTTCAGCCTTCACACGCTTAGTAGGAAGGCCAAAGTAACCAACACGATCTATGTTCTGAAGAAATATCCCAGGAAGCAGACAGCCCGTAGCACAATATCACTATCATAGCGGAACAACAAACAACACACGTGCGATATGTAGTAGGCACAGGGCTTAAATGGAATTTGTAATAATGGTTATA